AGATCTATATTTATTTATTTATACAGGGCTGACACACTGGCTCAAATAATAAAAAGAAATAGCCAATATTTTTAACTTAAAATATAATAGCCAAAATTTCAGCTGATTTGAACAAACTTGGTAGACACCCATTAGAAGATGTTTCATGCTAAACATCTTAGGTCCAGCTGGTCAAGTTTTTTCTTTACACATATAGTTAAAAACAATGACACACCTGGGGCAGGGCCAGTTTGGACCCAAGGGCTTTTATTTGAACAAACTTTGTAGACACTTACTAGAAAATGTTTCATGCTTAATATCTGAACTCTAGCTATTCTGATTTTTCGAAGAGATTTTAAGTTTTTGCTATACACATATAAGGAAAATCAATGACCCCCAGGGGTGGGGCCAGTTTTGACCCAAGGGCTTTTATTTGAACAAACTTTGTAGACACTTACTAGAAGATGTTTCATGCTTAAATATCTAAACTCTAGCTATTTGGGATTTTTTCAAAGAAGATTTTTAAGTTTTTGATATACACATATAAGGAAAATCAATGTCCCCTGGGTCAGTCTTCACGTAAAACTTTAAAAAGCACAGGACATTCGGGCCAGTAAAATTTCAAATCTTACTGGACCTGTTGATTTTTAGCTGGACCAAATACACAGAATGATAGGTAATAAATTTATGGGTAAACGAAAACACTTTATCATGCTTCCTTTGATTATTTTAAAAGGAGCATAATACTTCTTTTATTCTGGGCCATATGTTGACAGCTTTGAAAAATCTAAAGGACCAAATGTTTAGACAAAATTGACAAGAATTGAACATGAACAACGCACTTTGCTTGAAACAAATCACTTTCACACAAAATATTTACTTAACTCAATCATCACAAAATCATAGCTTAATAATAAACAATGGTTTAATTTCGTAAGTGTACGGTGCGGTACGGAAAATATCCAAGAAAAAAAATGGCGGCCTCCATTACTAAATACAATTTAGACATCTTTCGCTGTGTTTTGAAGATTTTGGACAGAATTGATGGGTTTCATTTGCAAAAAAGGCAAAAAGAGAACCCTGCTTCATTATTTTGATGATTTTTTCTTATAATATTTTTTCATGGCCAAAAATTTACTGGCCTGTCGGACCACCAACCTTGCAATAATCAACGGACCAATGCTAAATTTAGTGGCCTCGGGCCTCGGACTGGCGTTTATTTCGAAGACTGCTGGGGCGGTGCCAATTTAGAGCCCAGGACTTTTATTTGAACAAACTTTGTAGACATTCACTAGAAGATGCTTCGTGCTTAATATCTTAACTCTAGCTATTTGAGTTAAATCTTTAAAGAAGATTTTTTAAGTTTTTGTTATACGCATTTAAGGAAAATGAATGACCCCGGGGCGGGGCCAATATTGACCCTAGGGATTTTATTTGAACAAACTTGTTAGACACTCACTAGAAGATGTTTCATGCTTAGTATCTAAACTCTAGCTATTTGGTTTTTTTCAAAGAAGATTTTTTAAGTTTATGCTATATACACACATATAAGGAAAATCAATGACCCCCTGGTGCGGGGCCAATTTTGACCCCAGGGCTCTTATTTGAACAAACTTGGTAGACATTCATTAGAACATGTTTCATGCTAAATATCTGAGCTCTAGCTCTTTGGGTTCTTTAAAAGAAGGGTTTTTTTTTAGTTTTTACTATATGCATATAGGGAAAATCACTGACCCCCTGGGGCGGGGCCAATTTTGACCCCAGGGCTTTAATTTGAACAAACTTGGTAGACACGGGTTAGAATATGTTTCATGCTAAATTTCTTAGCTCTAGCTCTTTGGGTTCTTTAAAAGAAGAATTTTTAAGTTTTTACCATATGCATATAGGGAAAATCAATGACCCCCTGGGGCGAGGCCAATTTTGACCCCAGGGCTCTTATTTGAACAAACTTGGTAGACATCCATTAGAACATGTTTCATGCTAAATATCTGAGCTCTTGCTCTTTGGGTTCTTTAATAGAAGGTTTTTTTTAAGTTTTTACTATATGCATATAGGGAAAATCAATGACCCCCTGGGGCGGGGCCAATTTTGACCCCAGGGCTTTAATTTGAACAAACTTGGTAAACAGCCATTAGAAGATGTTTCATGCTAAATTTCTTAGCTCTAGCTCTTTGGGTTCTTTAAAAGAAGAATTTTTAAGTTTTTACCATATGCATAAAGGGAAAATCAATGACCCCCTGGGGCGGGGCCAATTTTGACCCCCGGGCTTTTATTTGAACAAACTTGGTAGACACTCACTAGAAGATGTTTCATGCCAAATATCTAAGCTCTAGGTCTTTGGATTTTTTAGAAGAAGATATTTTAAGTTTTTTTCTTTTGGTTGTCATGGCAACCAGAGTTCTGCATGGAATTAAATTCTTTAAACAATTTTCAAAGGTGACCACCAAAGGAACATTCCTTTGAAGTTTGCATGAAATTGGCTTAGTGGTTTATGAGGAGATGTCATTTAAAGTAAAAGTTTACGGACGACGGATGGACGAAAAGCTAAAAAGAAATATAAGTGATCTGACGACCAGGACAGCCTAGCAGTTCATTTAGGTCCAGACAGAAAGTGACATAAGTTTAGGATGCGCTGAGAATACGTCCGACGATCAGAGGACTGGTTGAGCGTTTTATTTTGGAACAAAAACACCCGAAGGTATAGCCTGAATTTAAATTTTGAATGATCAAAAATAATAATTCCATTATGGGAGAGTTAATATAAAACTTTTATTGAGGTCAGTATTTATCCACAAAAAGATGTGTTTTTTCTATACCATAGTCTACATGAATCAAGTGACTAAGGGGAGAGGGCCAATTTTGACCTGAGGGTATTTCGATTTTATAGCAATCTACAAATTGTCAAATACATGTCAAATATGTAAGCTCTGGGCACCCGACTTTGTAGTTTTACACATTAAGACTTAAATGTGTTTTGCAATAAAAATCAAGTGACCCTGGTACGGGCCAATATTGACCCCAGGGTCATGATAAATATCTGTTTTGTAGAAGCCAATAAGGCAATGCTTTTGTCAAATATCTAAACTCTAGACTTTGTAGTTTAACCAAAATAAATGGGTTTTCCTATATACAAAACTATATAAAATAAGTCCAATATAATGAGGACAATATAGACCCAAGGGGCATGATTTATACCATTGGTTGTGTGGTCCACAAATGTGATGTAAAATGACAAAGTATCTTAGCATCGTTGTTTAAAATACACAATAAATTTTAGAGGTATTATCCAATATAAATCTACATAAAATCAAGTGACCCCTTGGACAGGGCCAATATTGAACCTAGGGGCATGACTGAAATCAATTTTGTAAAGGTTAATAAGGCAATGTTACATGCTAAATACAGTGTACTCCACTTATAACGAGATCGGTTTTAATGAGGTACCGCTTACAACGTACATTCCACTGTGTCCCGGCATTTTTCCTTCTATTTTCTTTTCATTTTTTATCTAAGCTCCAGACATAATAGTTTTACACAATAAAAATCAAGAAATTTCTTGGGCGGGACCAGTTTTTTATATCAGGAAGCCCAAAGTTATTTCTGCTCATTGTCTACATAAGTAATATTTCTGCCAAAAATTTCACTTTATTCCAATTGATTCAAGAGATACAGAGTGGATACAAAATTGTTACAAACATAGATTTTGACCCAATGAAGGTCAATCATGTGCTCTGCACACATGTTCTCTTTACAGGGTTCGTATCCAGTATCAAAATTCAAGGACTTTTTAAGCACTTTTTAAGCATGTTTTTCCATTTTTCAAGCACAATTTGTTGCGTCTATATCCTACACAATGTTTAACCAATATTAATTTATAAGTCATTTCTTGATCATTTCATGATGAAAATACATTTTCTGGCTACAGTTTCTATAGATGACAACAAAGATAGCAACAAATACAAACTTAACTGACAACCTGTTGTACGGCCCCCTGTTAAAACCCTTACTACTGTTTCCATTTGTGATTTATGTTTTTCTTTCGTAGGTTTTCCGTTTCTTTTAAATATAAATACTACAACATCACAATATTATATATATCTACATTATTAAATTGTTTTACAAAAATAATGTCAATAATCATTGAATGGTAAGTGAAAATCATTAGCATTATACATCATTGCAGTGGGTGGGGTAATGTGGTGATCTTGCGATGAGTTACATATCAGAATCTTGCTAAATGCTGTATTGAGACCTTGGAACACAACATGAGCATTATAGAGGGGTTGAAGTGAAGTTCAAATCAATTGCAATATGTGCCTGTTACATTGAGCAAACATTACAAAATTCATTGATCTTGATACTGAACAAGATCTGTTTTGTTTTTTGTTTGTTGATTTTTACTGACACTTGTCTGTCATTCAATAATTTTCAAGCAAATTTGTAGCGAATTTAAGCACTTTTTAAGCACTTTTCAAGAGAGTAATCAAATTCAAGGACTTTTAAGCACTTTTTATCATTTTTAAGCACTTTTTAAGAAAGAGACTGAAATTTAAGCACTTTTTAAGACTGTACGAACCCTGCTTTATGGTTAACAATTCTGCTAAGCAGTTTCAATTTCAAAATAACTGACGGACGGATGGATGAAATAAGACAAGCCAATGATTTATATCTGTACTTGATTTTATGTGTGACCTTGAACTTTAAGCTACCAGCCTTATTCTTGAGCGCGAAACATTGTCATTATGTTCAACACTTTTATGCAAAGTGGTTTTGAAATCCATCCAGGAATAACAAAATTGATGACAGGAAACGAACATCAGTACACTAACTATGACAAATTTCCGTTAGAGTCAATGTGTGACCTTGACCTTTCGAGCAACAGACGCAAGACATTGCCTCATTGAGCAAAACATTTGTGTAAATTTGTCTGAAATAAAAAAATTAAATGATGGAAGGAAGTATGGACGGTCGGAGGCTGTACTCATGGACATAAAAATGTAAAATATGTCTCCGCTACTTACTCTGTTTATTATCATTGTACTGTTTCTTCTTGTCGTCCGTAATCCTTGTGTAGAGTGTTTTTTCTACAGTCTCTACTAAATTGGCTAAATCATTTCTCCCTTTATCTCCCTCTTCTTTGATAATTTCAACTGCTCTTTCACATTCTTCTGTTATTCTCTTGCTTTGTGTTTTTACCTTTTCCTCAATGTCCTCTTTCTTTTGATGCATTATTAGAACTGAATTGTCTCTTGCCTTTTCTATGTGTTTGACGCTATTTTTTCTTCTCTTAATCATATCTTCTTTTACAGTCTCAGACGTCCTTTTTAGGTCATCTTTTTCTACTCTTATAGTGTCACGAGCTGCTTTTGCAACATCATCTAGTACTTTCCTTATGTCATCTTTTCCAATGACCATGGTGTCATTTTCTAACTACATTTTATAATAAAACAATTAATGTTAAAATGGTACATATGCAACATCTCTTTAATGTATAGTAAAGTAAGTAATCATTATGAAAGTCACAGAAAAAACGATAATGAAATGGTATATGTTCATAAATAAAATAAAATATTAAATTATCATCATTTCAAAATTGTAAGTTTACAATAACTTTAAGAATGATTGGCATTTCTAAAGCAAAATTACACAAAATTATTCATTAACATACTTGAATATTATCATATTCACATATTCTTTTTCTTTTGCAAATTTATAACTGTATCTCTGTGGTTTGCTTTTTTAAATTGTCCATGCTAAAAGTGAATAACTTAGTTTCTCTTAACTTTTGTATGTGCAAAGTAAAATGATACGATGCTAATTTGTTCATTGTCGATCATCGTTTATAATTATGATGCTTATTTTTTCATTGTCAACTTGATCTGAATTGACCACATATGTATATTCCAAAAGATGAAGCTGTTATAATATCAATTGATCAAACAGTTAAAATATAAAAAGACAGTCCCATTCCTTTTATAGCGAATGAGTGATTAGTGATCATGAATGTGTTTGCCTTGATGATAGGCCAGATGCATGTTGCAGGCTAACTGTGTTGTTAGGAGACAGCAAAATTGCATTACAAGACTCAGCAATAAACAATTTTTCATTAAAGGATCAGAACAAAATATCATTCAACCATTAAAAGTTGAATTGATGAAGCGACCTCTATTTTATTGAGACAAACATTCTGACAAAGTTTGATGAAGATCCAATCAATACCGTGACTGCTAGAGTGTTAACAACCCAATTGTTGACGATGCACGAACGACGGACGCCGGACATAGCCCCATATGTTTCCATATCACAGATTAGACGTCAAAAGACAAATTTAAAAAGCAGGCAAGTTTGAACAAATAACAAAGTAATATCCACGTATAGCAAAAGTAAAATATTTGATACATTTTTAAGTGAAGTTCGGTCGATATCCAAAGGGTTGTTGTGTCCAAAAATGAAGGCAAGCTATTGAAAAATAAGAACATCATGATCAACATTAAAGCTTTTGGATGGCAACCGCAAATACAACGGCATTAACTGCTCTGTTTTCTTCGAAAAAGTCAAGCTAATAACACAAACCGAATAATCACCTTCAGCTAAAGAATATACTTAGTGATCAATTTAAAATGATTTGTTTTTGTGCCTAAGGCATTATCTTTATCAGTAAAGCAATTTTTAGTGCATTTATAAAAAATTATCTATTTTTAACTACAACTTGTATGGTTAACTAAAATTGTGTGCATATTTACATCTATCAGCTTCTGTTTGGCATTTTGTGCGTGCACGTCTGTAGCTAAATATCCAGCATCAGAAAGAAGTTGTTGAAATACTATGAAGTATTGATGAAGATCTGTATCTTCTACCTCTAACGTTGGTGAATGCCTCAAATTTCTACCAATTTCTCTTGCCTGGTAAAGATAAAACATTTAAATCAAATCTACAAACATCTATGTGTATTAGATTAAATTTACAAAAAAAGATGAAATGAGTTTAAAGCAATGTTATCTTTGAATGATAAAACATGGTTAGCTTTCTCTATATCGGATATACGGTATATAAAACTGATGAGATAGTAAAGGGGCATCTGTGGCTGAGTGGTTAAGGTTGTTGCCTTCAACAACGTGCCGCTGAGCCTTCAAATTCCGACTTCAGATTCTTTCAAACAAGAACTATTCCATTTTCCATTCATGCCTGAAATGATACAAGGAACAGTGTTGCATCTAGGCCGCGCGATTGCGCGATTTGCGCATTTTTTATGCAGATCGCGCATTTTATTGAAGTCAGTGCGCGCCAAGTCGCGCATCTGACAATCTTTTCAACTTAATTCAGTTTATCTTCATCGTATCTTTAACGCTTCAGCCATGTTTGTTTTCACTCATGGTTATGACTAAAATACGTACTAAATCGCATGTAGCAGCCGACTAAGTCATCTCGCGTGTGTTTTGTAGTATTCGTCAATATTTTATTTTTTTACTTCCGTTTTTGAGCGGACGATAGCTCAAAAATGCCTGAATGTAAAATAAATGAACTCTATTCGGTATGTCATATTGTTAGGTCAATGTATGTCCCCCACATCTTTTTCAAATCCCCCACATTTTTCAATTGAGTGGGGGACAATCCCCCATAATTTTGAAATTCTAGATGCAACACTGAAGGAAGGGAACCCGAGGTCCTCCTTTTCCAGTAAACTATACTGGTTGGGTAAAAAATCAAGATGGTATAGAAGTTATCAACAAGAGCACCGCTAGGAGGAGCATAATATATGCATGAAAGTGTTTTTTTTAGTAAAGAAGAAGCATTTGTAAGACATTACATAAATTAAATAAAGTATTACCTCCTTCAAAGAACAATCCTCCTATAAGGTTGGAATTTTGTGGGTCAAATGGAACTTAAGTTATGATCTGGAAACTGTTTTCATTTTTGAGGTAATAGCAACCTTGAACTTTCAATATTGTGAGTCACATGGGACTTAAGTTATGCTCTGGAATCTGTTTATCAGTTTTAAAGTAATAGTGACCTTGACCTTTGACCTTGTGACCCTAAAATCGATATGGGTCTTCTACCCAATATGGACAATCATCCTATGAAGTTTAAATATTGTGGGACAAATAGACCTTAAGTAAATATGCTCCGGAAACTGTTTTCAATTTGAAAGTAATAGTGACATTTACCTTTGACCTTGTGAGCCCAAAATCAATAAAGGTCTCCTACCTAATATGGACAATCATCCTTTGAAGTTTGAATTCTGTGGGCCAAATAGAACCTTAAATTATGTTCCAGAAATTGTTTTCAGTTTTAAGACAATAGTGACCTTGACCTTTGACCTGGCAGTCCAAAAATAAATAGGGATCTTCTACCCAATATGGACAATCATCCTATGAAGTTTGAATATTGTGGGCCGCATGGAACTAAAGTTATGCTCCGTAAACTGTTTTCAGTTTTAAAGTAAAAATAACCTTGACCTTGTGACCCCAAAATCAATAGGGGTCTTCTACCTATTACGTACAATCATCCTGTGAAGTTTGAACACTGTGGGCCAAATTGAACTTAAGTTATGCTCCGGAAACTGTTTTCAGTTTTAAGGTGATAGTGACCGTGACCTTTGACCTTGTGACCCCCAAATCAATAGGGGTCTTCTACCTAATATGGACAATAATCCTATGAAGTTTGAATATTGTGGGCCAAATGGAACTTAAGTTATGCTTCATACCAAATTGCTAACGGACGGACAGACGGACGGACAAGGCGCCGACTATAATTATGCTCTCCCGAAATTTTTCAGGGAGCATAAAAACTGTAAGAAAATATTGTTAACCTGCTCAAAAATGTTGTTCTTGTTGCCTAGGTTTTCATGTACTTTCAACTGAAGGTCTTTGTAATTAATGATAACGCTGATGATGCCATTGAAGTCTGTTTCTTGTGCACAAACTACATCTTTATATCCATCTGGGGGCATGAAACATTTCGCTATCTCCCAAGTATTACTGCACCATTGGGTAGCATCTGTGTTCTTGTAGGATGGACCATAGTACCTATGTGCATTCTGTATCTCTGTTGTGAAATTATGGCATATCTTGTTAGGGCAGCCAGCAGGATTATACCTTGTTGCAGCATTTCGATGATAACTGCATCTTCCACGTCCAACATTACATATTCTATTTGTTGGACATTTGATAACATTTTCTGTACAGCAATTTGAACACAAAGTTCCACTCATCAATCCATTGTTGTAGCAAATATGATCTAAACATTTCAAACGGAATTCTTGAACTTCATGACATACAAAAGGTTCAAGTCCGTCTTTAGTAAACAGCACTGCTAACTGTGCTTTAACCCAGTTATTGTATTTCTTCTCTGATAGTTTTGAGCTATATGAAGCCATTGTTTACTTCGTCTTATTAAGGTAACATTTTCACATTGTTGAATGTCAATCTTAATCTGGAAAATAACAAAAACTGGTGTTTATGTGTAATTTATACAGTTTCAATACTTATTAACTTTTAAAAAGATATATAAAGAACTTAAAAGAGATGTACACACTTTAAGTGGAGCATTATATGCTCAAAAGCTTAGGGTTTTTTTTAGTAAGGATAAAGCATTTGTAAGACATTACATAACTAAATAAAGTATCACCTCCTTCAAATAGCAATCCTCCTAAAAAGTTTGAATATTGTAGGCCAAATGAAACTAAGTTATGCTCTGGAAACTGTTTTCAGTTTTGAGGTAATAGCCACCTTGAACTTTGACCTTGTGACCCGAGAATCAATAGGGGTCTTCTACCCAATATGGACAATCATCCTCTGAAGTTTGAACACTGTGAGCCAAATGGAATATAAGTTATGCTCCGGAAACTGTTTTTAGTTTGAAGGTAATAGTGACTTTGACCTTTGACCCCAAAATCAATAGGGGTCTTCTACCCAATATGGACAATCATCCTATAAACTTTGAATATTGTGGTTCAAATAGACCTTAAGTTATGCTCCTGAAACTGTTTTCAGTTTTAAAGTAATAGTGACCTTGACCTCTGACCTTGTGACCCCAAAAAGAATATTGGTCTTCTACCCAATATGGACAATCATCCTATGAAGTTTGAACACTGTGGGCCAAATGGAACATAAGTTATGTTTCGGAAACTGTTTTTAGTTTTAAGGTAATAGTGACCTTGACCTTTGACCTTGTAACCCCAAAATATATAGGGGTCTTTTACCAAAAATGAACAATCATCCTATAAAGTTTGAATATTGTGGGCCAAATGGAACTTAAGTTATGCTTCATACCAGAATGTGCTTTCAGTTTTAAGGTAATAGTGACCTTGACCTTTGACCTTTTGACACCAAATCAATAGGGTCTTTGACCCAATATGCATAATTATCCTATGAAGTCTGAATATTATGGGCTAAATGGAACTTTAGTTATGCTCCCGAAACCATATTGCTAACAGACGGACGGAAGGACAGATTGATGCTTAGGGATATAACATTATATGCCCAAATTTTTTTCTGGCATATAAAAATAATAATTTATGGTCATGGTCATTTAGAGATCAAAGTCATATCTAAATTATTCCACATCTTTTTGGTCACAAGTGTTCTTTTGTCCACATATAAATAAAATCCATGCATTATATATTTATATACAAATACATTATTGCAATAAAAGAAAGAAAGAACTATAATTGTGCAGGATACACTTCTGTATACAGTAAAAACTGTTTACAGTGACCTTCGATGGGAGACAAGAGCCCGGTTTGAGCCGGGTGATGCTCCCCGAATAGGTTTTAGACACAGGAAAGTACACCTCTTGTAGTTTCAGAGTTATGTCCCTGGAAAAAGTTCAAAGACCAATAATTCCAAAATTAGGCAAGGCAGAGTTACTGTTCTTTGCACTGCACTTCTAATCAATGTGATCTATCAACCTACAAAGTTTCTTGATGATATCTCTTATGATTTCCGAGTTATGTCCCGGACAACTTCAAAAAGGAAAAATAAACAAAGGGCAATAACTCCAGAATTAGGCAAGGCAGAGTTATGATTCTTGTGCATTCCACATCTACCCATTGAGATATATCTACCTACAATGTTTCATGTTGATATCTCTTATAGTTTTACAGCTATGTCCTGGACAAGATTTTTCTAAAAGGGGAGATAATTAAAAAGTGAGGCTTAACAGAGTTATGGTTCCTTTGCACTGCACCTCTACTCAATGAGATCTATCTACCTACAATGTTTCATCTTGATATCTCTTATAGTTTTAGAGTTATGTTCCAGACAAAGTTCAAAGTGTTAAAATTAACAAAGGGCAATAACTCCAAAATTAGGACAAAAAGAGTTATTGTTCTTATGCACTGCACATCTACCCATTGAAATCTATTCACGTACAAAGTTTCATGTTGATATCTCTTATAGTTTTAGAGTTATGCCCCCGACAAGATTTTTCTATAAGGGGAGATAATTCGAAAACCGGGCAAAATAGAGTTATGATTCTTTGACACTGCACTCCCCCTCAATGCCCTTTACCACTGTATGAAGTTTCAACAAATTATCTCCAAGGGTTTTCAAGTTATGCTCCGGACAAGACAACAGACGGACAGACGGACGGACAAGACGCCGACTATATGCTCCCCCGAAATTTTTCGGGGAGCATAAAAAGGTCATTATAGACAGGGAATTAATGTGGACAGTCTCTATATAATTCAGATAATTATATGAACATATCATTCCAATATTTTGTTGAAAAGCAGGATAGTACCATACTTGGGGTTTAATTATATTTTTTATTGATATTAAACATACCAAATATCATTTATAAAACAAGAGCCGGTTGAACCGGGTGATGCTCTGCGAATAGGTTTTGGACACAGGAAGGTATACCTCTTGTTGTGTCAGATTTATGCCACAGACAAAGTTCAAAGTGTAGAAACAACACAAATATTGTTTACAACACATTGTCTCAATATGGTGATCATTTTTGTGAAATAGTTGTAAAATCCGACTTCAAATTACGAAGTAATGCGCCGGACACGATTTTGCTGCAAGGTCATGCTGTGACCTTGACTTTCAAGGTAGCGACACAAATGTTGCGCGCGACACATTGTGTCAATATGGTGATCATTTCTGTGAAATATGTGTAAAATCTGACTTCAAATAACAAAGTTATGGGCCGGACACGAATTCGGGACGTACGTACGGACGGACGGACAGCCCGACGTCTATATGCTCCCCCGAAATTTTTCGGGGAGCATAAAAACAGGACAGTATTAAAATTGCATGTATAATTGGTTAAGATTAAAAACTACACCATTACATTAGTATTTAAAAGTTACATATTGATTAAAAACGTAATTTATATTGATAAATCTGTTTGTAAAAAAATGTTTAATTTCAATTTTCCTAATGGGATGTTAGAGACATTTATTTTGTACAATCAACCTGTTTACTTTACCGATTTCAATGTATTTATAAAACATTAGATACAAATCTTCACATAATTTCTACAGATAAGTGCTCCGAAAATATTTTTAACAATCGACGTTTCGAACATAACCACACCTTTAACAGGGGGTCACTAAGACAGTCTTTACTGTATTATTATTATTAAATATAAAAATAAAATTCATATAAATATAGATGATTAAACACTGATTGTAATTCAATTGATTTTTTATATGAAGGTAGACAAAGAAATTAAAACACTATATTAAAGGTATAACAATAGCCGACTATAGGTCAGAAGTAAGGGACGACAAGATTACTTTCATTTGTCAGTCATGTTGTGTCACTGCTAGAGAAGAGCAGCCGATAAATCTCTATAGTCTTGTTCAGAAAATTCTGACCAGTCAGATAAATCCTGCAACCAAGTTGTCAGATAATGCATATACTTATGATTGCATTAAAGATAAAGACCTCCACAAAACCATATTACATATAATATTTAGCATATTAAAACATAAAAATAATGTATCCCAGTGTCAATTTCAATAATTTCAGGGTTTTCATTTTTATCAGAAGGGTCAATGGTGAAAGCCATTCGATCATCGAAAATAATTGAACAACCCTTTTTGATCAATCATCGAATATATGATCGAAACATTTACAATAACAAAAGTAACTAGAAATATCACTAAATGTGATTAATACCCCCGCAAGACTGCTTCAGAAATGAGGATGTTACTAGTAACAGAATACCTTGTAAAACAATTGAAATACAGTTATGGTTGTGGGCAATTAAAGATAGTTGTGGTTCTTGTATGTTGCATTTCCTTTCAATGTGGTTGGCCGTTGATGAAGTTTTATTGAATTATTCTGCAATAAATCCAGAAAGACAAGGAAAAGGAACAAAGGGCAATAACTCTATAAATACTGAAGATGGAGTTATGGTTATTGTACACTGCACTTCCTCTCATTGCACTTGACCATCGTATGAAGTTGTATTGAATTCCAACTACAAGGTTTTAAGTTATGCACAGGACAAAAAAGTAACAAAGGGCAATAACTGTAATAAGTCCAAATAGAGTTATGGTTCTTGAGCACTGCGCTTCATCTCACTGCCCTTGACCATTGTATAAAGTTTCATTGAATTCCAACTATTAATTTTCAAGTTATGCACTGGACAATAAAAAGTAACAAAGGGTAAAATCTTTTAAATGAGTCCAGAAAGAGTTATAATTTCTGTACACTGTGCTTCCTCTCAATATACTTCACCATTGTATGAAATAGTATTGAATTCCAACTAGTAGTTTTCAAGTTATGCTCTGGACAAGAAAAAGCAATGGAAAAGTAACAAAGGGCAATAACTCTATATTTTTGGATAGAGTTATAGTTCTTGTGCACTGCACTTCCTCTTATTGTGCTTGATCATTGTATGAAGTTTTTTTGAATTCCAACCAGTACATTATAAGTTATGCTCCGGACAAGGAAAAGTATCAAAGGGCAATAACTCTGTAATTTGTCAAAATGGTGTTATGGTTCTTGTGCACTGCATTTCCTCTTCATGTGCTTGACAACTGCATGAAGTTGTATTGAATTCCAACCAGTAGTTTTCAAGTTATGGTCCGGACAAGGAAAAGTAACAAAGGGCAGAAACTCTGTAATAAGCCATGGTGGAGTTATGGTTCTTGTGCACTGCACTTCTTCTAACTGTGCTTGACAATTGTATGAAATTATATTGAATTCCAACCATTTCTCTTCAAGTTATGCTCCAGACAAAAAAGCAATGGAAAAGTAACAAAGGGCAATAACTCTGTAATAAGTCAAGATGAAGTTATGGTTCTTGTGCAATGCACTTCCCCTTATTGTGCTTGACAATTGTATGAAGTTGTTTTGAATTCCAATCAGTAGTTTTCAAGTTATGCTCTGCGCAAGGAAAAGTAACAAAGGGCAGTAACTCTGTAATTAGTCAAGATAGAGTAATGGTTCTTGTGCACTGCACTTCCTCTTAAT